CTCAAATCAAAACAGCTTAGCATGTTATAACCATGGTATAACAGCATAAACACAATGTGCTCAAATCAAAACAGCTTAGCATGTTATAACCATGGTATAACAGCATAAACACAATGTGCTCAAATCAAAACAGCTTAGCATGTTATAACCATGGTATAACAGCATAAACACAATGTGCTCAAATCAAAACAGCTTAGCATGTTATAACCATGTTATAACAGAGTAAACACAATGTGCTCAAATTAAAGCAGTTTAGCATGTTGTAATCGTTATAACAGCATGAACACAATGTGCTCAAATCAAACCGCTTAACATGTTATAACCATGTTATAACATAAGCACAATGTGCTCAAATCAAAACAGCTTAGCATGTTCTAACAATGTTATAACATCAAAAACACAATGTGTTCAAATCAAAAGAGTTTAACTTGTTATAATCATGCTATGACAAGATAAACATGCAATGTGCTCAAATCAAAACAGTTTAACATGTTATAATCATGTTATAACATCATGAACACACAATGTGCTCAAATCAAAACAGCTTAGCATGGTCTAACCATGTAATAACAAAAACACAATGTGCTTAAAATCAAAGGCTTAACATGTTATGATCATGTTATAACATCATAAACACAATGTGCTCAAATTGAAACAGCTTAGCATGTTATTACCATGTTATAACATCATAAACACACAATGTGCTTAAATCAAATGTTTGATGTGTTATAATCATGTCATAACAGCATAAACACCCAATGTGCTCAAATAAAAGCAGTTAAACATGTTATTTTCATGTTATAACAGCATAAACATACAACGTATGTAACACTCGACAACCAGAAAACTGAAACTTATTTGACGGAGCACTTTAGGCAGCTATTTGTGTTTCGGAATGATTCAATTTCTGATAAAGGTTTCATCTCTGCTAACAAGCTGCTGTGTTCTCACAGCTTGTCTGATCAAAGGCAGAAACATTTCATCTTATCTTTCCTCCCCTCAGCAGAAACAAACGTGATGATTTGGTTTCTCTCTTCACCTATTCTTGATTCATAAATTGACATTCTATATTCTGTGTGTTTGTCTTAAATCAGTAAGGTGGAAATGTTATATAAAATACAGGAAAATAAAAATAGAAGCCATGGATTGGTTTTGACTTTTTTGGAAACTGGAGGAAACAAAAGTTTCATTGCATTTCTCTTTAAAATAATAATGAAAAAAATTCATTGTGTTTATATAT